AGAGGCAAGAGAGCTGGCCCAGAGTGGGGGAGAGGAGAGGTCTCTCCATCACCGGTGCCAAGTGACTGAGTCTCACTGCTGGGGTTTCCTATAGCACAGCAGGTAGGGTGTTTGCCTTGCATGCGGCCGACCCGAGTTCGATCCCCGGCATCCCATATGGACCTCCGAGCACTACTGAGTGTGGTTCCTGAGTGTAGGGCCAGGAGTAACCCCTAAGTATCGCCAGGTAATTCTCCCCGCAAAAAAAAAAAAAGGCAAAAGAAACAAAGCACCCCCCCACCCCCCAAAAAAAGACCAGCTGCCCAACAACCACTCACAAGGCCATGGGACGAGCCTGGTAGGTTCCTACACCCTGGAGCAGAGTGGCCGTGGCAAGCAGGGCCTGGCGAGCAACCTGCCCGCTGCAGACTCAGGACTTCCCTGCAGAGTTTTTAAAACTTGGAAGAACTTCCAGTGAATCATCTCAGCTGCTTTTTTTGATTCATGTTTAACATCTTTGGAGAAGGAGGAAAAAAAAAACAGTAAGTCATTCTCAAGAAAACCAGCATCGGGCAGCTGAAATGCTGGGCTCAGGCATGGCAGTGAGCCAGCTGTCCCGTCCCCGCCTTCCAGTACCCTCTCGGGAGGCCCCGCTGACGGCAGCCGCCCACAGCTGACACGAGTGTTTGTCATCGGGAGCCAGGACGACCCAGAGAAGCTGCCCTTTGCCACCGTCTCCTCTTAGCTACAACACCAGGAGCCGAGATTCTGCCCCAGGGTTGGACGCCTGGACGCCCGGGTACCATGCATCCATCCACGCGCATGGAGGGCGAGGGCATAATGAACACGGGGCGCAGAGTCCTGAGGATGCCCAGCCGGGAGGAGCGCAGAGCTGTGTGGCAGCAGAAAGAGAAACTGAGGAAGGGTTGGCCACACATCCGGGCCCCCACCTCCCCTGGTGTCCCTATGTCCAGGCGCAAAGCTGGGCCCCATTCCCCAAGGACACACTCGGCTGCTCCCCCCGCCTGGACGGGCCTGGCACCGGGGGTGGAAGCAAGTCAGGGAGGACGATGGAACCTGCTGATGTGGGTGCCCCTTCCCCACGACCCACACTCCTGTGGGATACGCTCCTTCGCGTGGGGGTCCTCGCAGCCATGGAGCACTGCCGGGGTGCCCTGGAGAGGCCCCGCCCCACCCGGGGCTCACTCACACCCACCTGGGATCCATCCAACCTGCACTGGTTCCAGTCCAGGGGGAAAGCCAGTTTCCAGGACCCCCGGGCGCTCGAGAGCAAACATGTGCTAAGCATGATCCCCCACCGGGCTCTGACACATGCACACGGAGGTTTCTGACACGTGGAGTATAAAGAACGGGTCGGCGGGTGGGGGTGGGTGGGGTTGTGCCTGGGGTCACACAAGGTGCAGGGACCAGTCTTGGAGCCTGGAGACACGGGGGTTGGAGGAGCCCAGGTGCCAGTGGGCAGGGAGATCTCGGGAACATGGAGGAGCCCCCTCACCTTTTTCTCGGCCCTGGGTCTCTACAGAGACGGAGACAGTTAATGACACACCTCTCACATGCTGCCAGCTGGGGTCTCACTCAGCCTCGACACAGTCACCTGTGTGGGCTGAGCTCAGGGATAGATGCTGATGGGTAACTCCTGCCCCCTTGATGACCAGGGGTCCTGGGGTCGGACCTGGATAATGACCTCTGGCCCTGCACAGATCCCCCTGTAGGGGGCACTGCCAAGTTGTGCAGTCTTTGCCTGCGCGCGTGCGCGCGCGTGTGTGTGTGTGTGTGTGTCCAGGTGTGTGTGTGTGCCCCCATGGTGTGAGCCCCGCAGGCATGTGCGTGGGCCACAGTTTCTTCTCCAGGAAGGGCCACTGCAGGGCAGGGCTGAGGGGAAATGCCCGCCGGAAGTGGTGCCGCAGAGGGGAACGCCCGCAGGAAGTGGTGCCACAGACTCCCGGAGGCACGCTAAGAATAACTGTCTGCGGGCAGTGAGGGAGGATGTCCCCTTTCCGGGAGCCCCGCCTGGAAACCGGAGCCCGTGCCACTGGGTAGTGACTTCCAGAAGGCCCCGGGGTCTGCGGTCCCACGTGGGGGCTGCACTCTTGGCCAGCACTAGGGGCACTCCAGAGCCCATCTCTGGACATGAAGTCAGCCTGGCCCTGCACTCACTCTTTCTTTCCTTCCTTCTTTCTTTCCTTCCTTCTTTCTTTCCTTCCTTCCTTCCTTCCTTCCTTCTTTCTTTCTTTCTTTCTTTCTTTCTTTCTTTCTTTCTTTCTTTCTTATTGAATCACCGTGAGATAGTTATAAGCTTTCATCTTTGACTCACAATCACACAATGATCAAACACCCATCCCTCCACCAGTGCACATTCCACACCACCAATATCCCCAGTATCCCCCCTTTCCCACCCTCCCCCTGCTGCCACGGCAGACAATATTCCCCATACTCTCTCTCTACTATTTGGGCATTATGGTTTGCAAAACAGACACTGAGAGGCCATCATGTTTGGTCCTTTATCTACTTTCAGCACACATCCCAAACAATTCCTCCAACCATCATTGTCTTAGTGATCCCTTCTCTATTCCAGCTACCTTCTCCTCCAGCTCATGAGGCAGGCTGCCAACTATGGGGCAATATTCCTGGCCCTGGTGTCTACTGTCCTTGGGTATTAGTCTCATTATGTTATTTTATATCCCACAAATGAGTGCAATTATTCTATGTCTGTCGCTCTCTTTCTGACTCGTTTCACTTAGCACGATACTCTCCATGTCCATCCACTTAGAAGCAAATTTCATGACTTCATCTCTCCTAACAGCTGCATAGTATTCCATTTTATAGATGTGCCAAAGTTTCTTTAACCAGTCGACTGTTCTCGGGCACTCGGGTTGTTTCCAGATTTTGGCTATTGCCTGCACTCACTCCTTCCTGGTCCTTCTCCCGGGGAGCCCTGAAGCATCTCCCTGGATCTAGGCCCCCCACCCCCCACAGGAGAATCGTGGTCACATCTCCTTGAGCGACAACTGACTCTGTAGTGTTCAGGGGCCGGGGGCTCGCCACAGAAAGACCCAGAAGGCCCCACTGCGACGGGGTGTGAGTTGGGCTTGCGAGATGCCACTAAGCTCCTCTTTTCCTTGGAGGCTTAGCACAAGGGGGGAAACTGAGACCCAGGCCCATCTTTCTACCCCCTCAACTCCCCACTGTCCCCCAGCCTGCTCACCCACTGCAAGATTTCTGGGGCTCACTCCAGCTAGAGACAGAGAAGGCTTGTGAGGGAGGAGGGGCTGTTTTCTGTGGGGGGAAAAGCCCAGAGACCCCCAGGGCGACCCTGGGCCACAGCGTGGAGCTCTGGAGGCCGGAACTCAAGGGCTCTGTGGGGGGTGTGCAAGAAAGGACGGCAGCAGCCCGGCTTAGGAAGGCCGAAGGGGCAGCCCTGTCCCCAACCAAGGGACGTCACTACGTGGGCCGCCCCCCCAGGCCCAGAGCAGCACGCTGAACCTAACACGTCACCCGCTGGTGGCTCTGAGCCTGAGGGTCCCACCTGCCCACACCCCACTCTGCAGGGGTCCTCCCATGCAACACGCCCGGGGTGTCTGTCTGGGGCCCCTAGACACTCTGGCGGGTGAGGGTCAGACAGCACAGGCTATGGTCATGACGGCCCTTACAGGGTAAGGAGAGTTACAAAAGGGTGTCTTCCGCTCCAGGGGCCTGCAAAGTTCCAGGAGGTTCTCCAGGACTGGCATGACCAGCAGGGCTGTCCCTGATGCCACCCCCATCTTTGGCCACCAACTCCACAACCATGGCCTTGGCTGATCACAGCACTACATGGGGGCAGGGCAGAGGCTAATGTCACTGTGTGGTGACCTGCCTTGGGGGGGGGGGGGGGACGAGGAGAGGAGGAGGAGGAGGAGGAGGAGGAGGAGCAACATCCCTTCGCCAAGCATCCCCCAGGAGCTGCGCCCAGCTCTGAGGATGTGGGGAGCCCAGAGAGGGGGTGTGAGGAGCCCGTTTGAAGAGCCTTGGTGAGGCTGTGTCCAGGGCACCCACCACACACAGTGGGGACCACCTCCGCCCTGCTGGACTCCGCAGAGTCTCCATGTGCCCCCTGGAGATGAGGGAAGATGGGGGTGTGGGGCTGAGCCCCGCTCAGGAACCCTAAGCACAGCCAGGAGCGGCTAGGCTGTCGAAAGGGAAGGGCACGGCACACAGGGCTCACAGTGGGTCTGGGCTACTGCGTGAGACGCCCCCCTCGCACCCAGAGCCTGGAGGGGTTCCAACAAAGCCGGGTGCTAGGCCACAGGAACTACTCCAGAGCTGGCCCTGGTCTGAGGGTGGACAGTGCTGTGAGCCCCCAGGGGTTCTGGCGTCCCGACTGCGGTGTGTGTGGGGGGGGGGAGGGGGGGAGGCGGAGGGGCAGAGTCAGGAGTTGGGGGTGGAGCAAAGGAGTTGTGGGGTGACAGGCAGCACTTTGCCAGGGCAAACGGTGGGAACATCTGGGTTTCTGGGCCTGGATTGAGGGTGGGACCACTCCCAACATGAACTGCAGAGGAGGGTCTGAGGGGGGACGCCGGGAATGTGGGGGCTGCGGTGGGGAAGGGGAATGCCGGGATGGGGATGGGGAGCCAATTCACCCACAAGGGGTCCAGGAAAGCTTCGTCTCTAGGGAACAGGCAGAGGGGCGGGAGAAGGGATTGGTCAGATTCAGGGGTGCAGGAGGGGCACAAGAGAGTGACTCCCGGAAGCCCCACCTGCTGACCCCCCAAGCCTCTCCCACAGGACCCCCCAAACAGATGCATCCTGGGGGAAAAGACTTGTCCACAAAGACTCCCCGAGTAGGCTCCATCTCTCACCGAGTCTCAGGGCGCTGCTTCCCGTGTCTCCCTGGTCCACTAAGCACCAGGACGGGACCCCAGAGTGCAGAAGGCACCTCCCCCTCCCCATCTATCTGTGGACCTCGCCCCCCCCACCCCACTCCCCCGCCTCCCCGGGTCTGCGCCCACCCCAGAACGACTTACCGGAGGCTGAGCGGAGGCTGAGTCGGGGACCGGGTCACACCCTCCGGGCTGGCTCGTGTTCTGGGGCAACCGCTAGACCATGCCCTGTGGGAGAGACCGCAGGGATTGAGGCCGTGGGCACTGCCTTCTCGCAGGACTTGCCTGGGTACCGGGGGTTGGGGGTCAGGAGGATCTAGTTTCCGGTGCCCCCCACCATGTGCAGGAACCCCTGACTCCTGCCCCCACCTGGAGGGAGGGGCCTCCCCGGAGACAAGGGGGGACAGCACAGACGAATCCCCGGGGCCCTGCAGCCCCTCTTCAGTGCACCATTGGGGGCTTCCCCCACGCCCCCGGCAGGCAGAGGGCTCAGGGGGTGTGCCTCCCCGTCCTACCCCCCTAAACTCAGGCCTCCACAGTTTTCTTTTTTCTTTTTTTAAAGCTTTTTGGGTCACACCCAGCAATGCTCAGGGGTTACTCCTGGCTCTGAACTCAGGAGTTACTCCTGGCGGTACTCGGGGGACCATATGGGATGCTAGGAATCGAACCCAGGTCGGCCGTGTGCAAGGCAAACGCCCTATCCGCTGTGCTATCGCTCCAGCCCTGTCCATGGCTTTCTTGATTCTCACAGCAGCCCTGGGGTGCGCCCTCGTCTCCCTGGCAACCCCTCGAGCCATCACCGCCCCTTGCTGCAACACCCCGGCCAGGTACATCATTGGTTCCAGCCAGCAGTTCCCACACCAACACTCACACCTCCCGTGCTTGGGGCATAGAGTACAGCTCCTCTGCACTCCCTGAGCCCAGAGCGCCCAGGCCAGGATGCAGGAGCACAGTGCTCTCACCCACAAGCGCTCCTGCATGATTTTCTCGGTCCTATTTCAACATTCCCACAACCCATTTCACAGATGGGGAAGCAAGCAGAGGCTCTGAGATGCACACAGGCTCCCAAGGGGCAGAGCCAAGGAGGAAGCCCTGACCGGGGCTGGCCCTCTCAGGGGGCCCCTCTCCCCAGCGGGCGAGGGCACACTCCTTCCCACCTTCCCGGGCACAACATGGTCCTGAGGACAGGACCCCAGGGGAGCGCATCTGCCCTGCAACCCCAGCTCACCATGCCAGGGGACCAGCTGTGCTCCCCACGGTGCATTGGAGAGAGGGCTACTCTTCCTGCCCCCCACCCCAACTCTGAGCCGCATTGCGGGGAGGGGGAGGTGTGTCCTCACCGTGCCTGTGCAGCTGTGTCTGGCCTGGCGCGGCGCCCCGGCAGGCACCCGATAAATAACCTCTGTTTGGCAAACGCCGGCCCCCGCCCCCGCCCCCGCCAGCGCACCACACAGATATTCTTGGAAGCGGAGTTGAAACCCTACCCAGTTCCCCTAATATAGAACTTCCTATGCCAAGTCTACAGTCCCATTATCTACGCTCGCTGCGAGCCAGCAACACCTGGGCCGGGCGCACACGTGCCTCCCCGCGGGCCCTGCTCCCGAGACTAAATGAAGTATTTTTACCAGCCGCTTTCTGTGCGTGGCAAAGGACATGATGCCCGCGTCCCTCTGCCCTCCCGCGGCTGCCTCTGCCGTGGGCATGGCTGTCATGGCCGAGCCCCCAGAGCCGAAGGCGGGTCCTCTCTCAGGCTCTGATTTCCGTGAGTACGGCAGATGTGTGCTGTGTCTCCTCCGAACAGTACCGCACTGCCCTCTCACTCCCCTGAACATCTTTGGTGCTCACCCGCTTCCGTATTTTGCTTGTTTGTTTGTAGGTTTGGTTTGTGTGCGTGTGTGTGTGGGGGGGGGGGGGTGGGGAGGAGCCTCTCCCAGTGGAGTTCAAGAGTGACTCCTGGCTCTGTGCTCCCGGGTTGGTCCCAGCAGTGCTCGGAGTAACCTGAGCATGTGATGCCATGCTTAAGACCATTCTCCACACATTCGGACGAGCCTCACACATGAAGGAACCGGCAGAGGAACCCAGGTGTGTGGGACCCGGGGCTTAGATCTCCAAGCCTGCTCGGATTGGGACTGGGGCCTCCTCCACACAGATCCCCCATCTTCCAGTATGTAGGTGTTACACCCATCAACTGCCCCCCAGCACCGTGTAATCCCATCAACGGCAAAGACCCTGAGACTATAAAACCCTGCTCCCGGAAGCATGTGGCCGCATTTGCAGCTGCTGGACATCTTATTATCTAGTTCTTACTCTGGAGAACCTGGCAGGCTACCAAAAGTATCCTGCCCACACAGCAGAGTCTGGCAAACTCCCTGTGGTGTATTCAATATGCCAAAAATCAGTAACAATGATGGATCTCATTCTCCTGACCCTGAAAGAGCCTCGAATGTGGCACTTTTTAAAATCTCAGGGCTAGGACGAAGGAGACGTTACTGGGGCCTGCTCGAGGCAATCGATGAACAAAAGGGTGACAGTGATACAGTGATACAGTGATGCCAGGGAAGGACTCTGAGCCTCCAGCAGGCTGCAGAGGTGCCTGCCCTTTCAGCTCTCTCCCCACCCTCACCCACTACTGTTCACAGCGGCTTTCACCTCAAGGCTCTCAGCTTCGCCACCTGAGAGCTTGATGAGCTGGCTCTGATATGCATGAAACTCACGGCCCAGACAGGGCCAGCGACTCTCCTCCACACGGTCCAGAACGTGCCGGAGGCCTCATCTTTCATTCCACCTTGCGACTGGCCCCGGCAGGGAGAGTTTTGTTCTGCGCCCCCGCCCCACCCCTGCCCCATTTATAGGGGAGGAGAGAGAATGGGGGACACTTGCTAAGGTCACCCGCGGCCCAGCGGGATTACAAAACGACCCAGGTGTCACTCTTCCTAGAGGTCCTCATCAGTGTATTCTGGGTGGTTGCTTCTAGGAGACCCCAGGAATGCGGTGAGCAAGCCCCCCTCCGACTCAGAAGTGAGGGGTGCCTTGGCCAGGTGCCTTGGTCGGGGGCCGCCTTCCAGGATACCCCCTCCTTCCACACTGCACCATTAATCCGCTGGGAGTTTCGGCTGGCGGCAGATGAGCATACAGTACCACCTCCAGCCTCATGGGGGCAGCACTGTACAATCAACAAGGTCACGACTGGTCAGTGACCCACTGGACACTTGGCAACAGTTTGTCTCACAACAGGGCCAAAGCCATGTGTGGTGGGGAGAGTGGTGGGGGGCAGTTCTGGCCCCCAACTCTGCATAACCCCTGCATTCCGTTTTTTTCCTTTTTGGATCACATCCGGCAATGCTCAGGGGTTACTCCTGGCTCTGCACTCAGAAATTACTCCTGGCAGTGCTCGGGGGACCATATGGGATGCTGGGAATCGAACACGGATCAGCTGCATGCAAGGCAAATGCCCTATTCGCTGTGCTATTGCTCCAGCCCCCTAACAATATTTTTAAAATTGAAAAAAAAAAGTCACCATGAATGATAAAGTTTTCCATGACTGGGCTTCAGGGGTGCAATGTTCCAACACTGGTCCCCTCACCAGTGTCCCCTTCCCTCCACCACTGTCCTAGTACTCTCTCTCCCCTGTCCTGTCCCTCCCCCACCAGTCCAGCCCTTCTGTTCTATTCAGGTTGGACCCCCTTACCTGCGCCCTGAGGAAGCTCTGACCCCTTTGGTTCCAGGCCTGGTCATTGGAGCCCCTGTGTCTTGGGTCAGTATTGGGGGCACCCAAGCTGGAGAATATCTCCACACCTGGGGCTGTTTCTCCCCTGGGCCTCACTCAGGAATTACTCAAGAATTACTCCCCTCACTCAGGAATTACTCAAGAATTACTCCCCTCACTCAGGAATTACTCCTGGTGGTGCTTGGGGGACCATATGGGATGCTAGAAATTGAACCCATGTCGGCCGCGTGCAAGGCAAACGTCCTACCCGCTGTGCTATCGCTCCAGCCCTGAGACCTGCATTCTTCCATTCTTGACTTCTCCATCAATGCTAAGTGTCCCCCCAACCCTCTGCCCCCAGGGGTACCAGCTCTGGTTTCCTGGCGGCCGAGTCGGGGAGGGAGGAAGGAGGAGGAGTGTCCATCATTCCCGGGACTTCCAAGGCTCTGGCTCCCCGGCTGCCTGGACAGTCCATTAACTCCACTTGCAAATTTCCCCCCCATCTATCACCGAGCCACAGGGGCTCCCGGGCCACCGGCTTTCCTGTGACAGATAAAGATTACAGTCATTGCTCCAGACGGAATCGAGAGCAGAAGTCATTAGGCAGAAATAATTATGTTGAGGGATGTCTGGTCGCTCCTGAGTTCCGTCTAGAGACTGAATGGGGGCTTCTCCCTCTCCCCTCCGAGAAGCACAGAGGTGACGACAGGGGTCTGGGGGATCACAGCAGACCAGGAATATCCCCCAGGTGCGGCCTCCTGCACCCACTTCCTCCTGGCCTCCCAGGCCATGCTCACTAGCCTCTGGCGCTTGTGAACTCTGAGAGGGACCAGGTCAGGCCCATTTCTTCCCCTGGCGGGGAGCCCCACCGGATGACACTGAGAGCTTATTCTTGGTGAGGGTTGGGGGTCTCTGTGGGATGCTGGGTGCCTATCCCAGGTGGGCGCGTGTCAGGCAGGCTCCCTACCGGCTATACCACTGCTCTGGCCCCAAGTCAGGCCCAGGGAGGGGTGCCGGAAGGAGGTACCCCAAGGGTTGGACAGGCCGGGCTCAAACCCCCGCTCCACTATCCCCTAGTTGTGCCACGAGAGCCGGTCTGAGCGGCCTCCTACCTTGTTTCCCCTTCTGTGAAAGGGAGACGATGAGAAAGGAGAGCGTTCAGTTCATCAAGCACCCAGTTCATCAAGCACCCAGTTCATCAAGGCGGTAGCTAATGATTCTATGACACGACGTTCATTTATTGAGCTCCACCTGGGACCCAATGTCCACTGGGTATGACAGAGCAGAGAAGCCTCAGAAGCATGCTGTGTGTGTGTGTGTGTGTGTGTGTGTGTGTGTGTGTGTGTGTGTGAAACCCTATCATTGACAGCGTGCAAACCATGATGGCTAAGAGAAAAATGAATAGAAACAAACAAAAAATAAGAATTGAGGCCAACCAGCAAGATGCAAGTGACCCAAAGGGACTCCAGAAGGAGTAATCTGAAGGCCTGTGACAAGATCACATTACAGGAGATTGAAAGAT